TATGACATTTATAAATACCGTGCATACTTTTAAACCATGGTTATATACACTATCATTATCTTTCTTGAGTGTCCACTTTAATACTGGTTTTTCAGACGATATAACCGATATAACCTTGTCGTTTCCTGATATGGTCATGGTGAGGGAAGCCAGAAGAAACCGTGAATTATACAATACACTTATTTTCCAAAAACAATTAAAAAAAAAACAAAAAAAAACGTTATCAAGTCTTGTGTTTTATATGGGGTATAGTATAAATAATAGAAATGATGATGATAATGACAATAATAATAATAATTATACTAATATTAATGATAATGATAATGATAATATTGATAATGATAATAGTAGCAGTAGTGGTAATAATAATTATAATAATAATACACCGGAATGATAATAAGAAGAAGATTAATAATTATAATTATGATTTTTTTTTAAAGTTAAAGATGGTGAGGATGGTGAAAATAATAAACACAATCGATTGGCTCTGCATAAGTCATATTCCAAACACAAAATGATAAATTATACTGATACAAAAGATACAATGTGAAATAGGCATGTGGGTATTTCAACTGTGAGTTCCTGTTTGCATGATAAGCGATACATATACTGCTTGCACATGGCAGATATTTGTATAATGCATTTTTTGTCGCATGATAATAATCTGTTTTAAGAGAGTTAGATGTGAGTATTGTGAGGGAAGAGAGAGAGAGAGAGAGGATAAGGAAGAGAAAGGAGAGAGGTATAAGGAGAGGGCGAGTGAAAGAAAGAGAGAGAGAGGGGGTGGGGGAGAGAGAGAGAGAGAGGGGGGGGGGGAGAGGGATTGAGAGTGAGAGAGAGAGAGAAAGTGTGTGTGTGCGTGTGTGTGGTGTGCGTGTGTGTGGGGGAGAGAGAGAGATAGAGAGAGAGTGAGAGTGAGTGAGAGTGAGTGAGAGAGAGAGAAACTGTGTGAGTGTGTGAGATAGAGAGAGAGAGAGAAAGAGAGATAGTGGGTTGAGAGTGAGAGAGAGAGAGAGAGAGAGAGGGAGAGAGAGAGAGAGAAAGACAGAGTAGGAGAAATAGGAGGGGATAGGGAAGAATACAAAATAATTCAAGCATCTTTATACTTTTATTGCGTATATTCGCGTGATGAAAAATCCCATCCTCGGTTACTCTGCCGCTCTGCGTCATAATAATTGTACGTTTTTCTGTGATATGAAACCATATAATCAAAAGAAGAGCAATATTTTTCTTCTATTTCTGTCTAGTCGCAGTTTTCCTTCTTCAAATTTCTTGATATTCCGAGCTGTAATTACTTATACCTGATGAAATTAACTCGTGCGTCATTGCTAAAAAAATGTATACTCCTCAAGTATCTTCGTGTGTCTTGGTTATAATCAACGTATTTCATGTTTGTGTTCTCCCTTTTAGTTCATATACTACAAACAAAATAATATACAGTTAACAACTGAACTATTTATTCTCCTTGTAAATTTGATGTTTTTGTGTGTTTATCGTAACTCAAGAATGAAAAGTGGACTGGTTGAATTAGGACCTTCGTTGAATACTTTTAGATGTAAGCTTTAAAGGTAAAGACCAGTTATGGTCATGCGATTGCATTGTGAAAGAAACGGTGTGGAATCGATCAGAAAAGGTTGATCATCTAGCATCTAGCATCTGCAAGGTTCTGGAATCATCAAAATGATAAGAAATTTGGCCCATTCTTCGTAAAGTTACAAGCACTATACACAGAAAGATGTATATGGGACTACCCTATATCTCTCACAGACCATGAGAGAAACAAATTTACCAAATATATGAATTAGTAGGCGGTTTCCCGGCAAATTTTTTATCATCATGTATTAGCCAAAACATATTCATTCACATGATTGGTAATGAGAGCTTCCATTTCATTTTTTGAAATTGGGGTGTTTCCAATACTGGTCTTTACCTTTAATGTCTCAAAAACATAAATAGGGACAAATCAATTTTTCACATACTTAAAAAATAATCTGGAAAATAATGTTAGGCCTAATTATGTTAAAAAAACGTATAATTAATGTTGTGATATAAGTACAATTCATGTGTTTTTCTTTGTAATCTATATAACTATTTGTCTTTTTTGTAAGTAGTATTCAATTAATAAATGATGAGGAAAAAAGAAGAAGAAAATACTTGAAAAATTACAATACCTACTATATATTTGAAAATCTTATCCAATATCTTTTTTGGCTGAGGGTATATATCTATATAATATATCTTTGTGCGTGTATATTCTTCATCAATCATCTCCGTCATGTAATAACTACCTTCGTGATTTATACATAATACCATATCCTTCTAAAGATCAATCATTCTGTTTGTCATAATTTTACTGGAAAACAGGATATACATGCCCATACAGATGGCTTAAAGGTAAATTCAACAGTTTAAGAGGTTGAAATGTGCTTTTGCAAGGTAGTAGGCCAGTATATTCGGTCAAACCCGACTATAAAGGCTACCCAAGGGATACAGAATTGTCCCCCATATTTGAGAGCAAATAATAATGCTTAATTTTTGAATAATCGCGGGAGGGTGTTTACATGGAAATGTATATTTGGACGCTATATAACTTAACAATGTATCACAGTTGCTTCATTATACACAGTTGCGTTGTATTGTGTTACCAATATCCATTGATAAAATAGTTCACTTTCCCAATATGATACATTCTACACACATTGCAGGATGATCTTAAAACGATTTACAATACGCTTGAAAGTGAAAGTCATTAAGTATAGGGAATGTGGCAAAATTAATGTGTAAAGCACTTCACTTCAGGTGTACATATCACATTGTTTTAACTTTCGGTATGACCAATACACACCGCAATGGCATCATTAAATAAATTGCCTTTGATACAATGGGTATAGCCTAAGATAGCACTTAATTTAATTTATAGGTATACTCAAGATTCATTTATAAATCCTAAGACGTTATCTTGTTTTTAAAGTGAGAGGTAGACTAGTAAATTATGAATATGTCGAAATGAATTTGTTGAAAATGAAAGTCGTCGGTATTATGTGCAAGTATTTCGTGTGTTAATTCATTATAATAAAACTTTCGAGTGGGAAGATGTGTATGATGAATTGACAAATTTATATTACGATATGATCAGATTATTGTAATAAATGTTTTATTTTGACAATAGAGCATGGAGAAAAGAAATATACAGAGCATCCATGATCATTTGATTAATCTTGAGACATTAAGTTGTCTTTGAAATTATAAATGGGCGGTAGTAAATTAGCAACAAGATCTTAGCATTGTACACATGCATAAGCTTTACCGGAGCACGTTGTGTTTTAGTTGCGTCAAAAATATTTCTAGCATTGTAAAACCCGGTCCTCAGATTTGTCCCTGCAATCACCGTGACAATTTTAATCATTTTCTTGTTAATCTTATAGGTTTAGGAATAAAGAGTTATCCATTTTCGAAGCATAATTCATGTGTGAAAATTGTTTCATAAAACGTCTTTTCCTCGGTATGGGCGCCATTTCTTAAACGAACGTTTTATTCATGTTGCAAGTTATACTTTGGAGATTGCAAATAATGAATCTACGCCTTCATAAAACTGCCATTTCAATCAGCGCGTCAGTTTTCTTTCTTCATTTTCAAAGAAATTTGGAAAGTTGTCTTTTCTGAGGATCAAATCGTTCCTTTTAAGTCCAGAAAACATCAAACTCAGAGTCATTAAATGGAACGTTTCAACAACATCATCAATATGCATAGTTTCCCTGAATCGCTAACCTCAAAAACGAAAGATCGCATTGATTTAACCATAAAAACACCTGCAACCATATGCTTCATTGGCTTTGAGTTTATAAAATAACAAATATCTTACGATTCCACGTCGATGTAAAATGCATTGATTAAGATAAAGTTAATGAAATTACAATATTCCCATTTCTTGTGACTCATGATTAAAAACTAACCTATGAAAAAGAATGTAGCATAAAAACATCACAACACATTGCACTGTTTTTGCACACAGTCACACATTATGCATGTACATTGGTTTTTCTATTGAGGTACATAGTCCCCCTCCTACAATCTCCATTACATAATATACGCATGCAAACTATCTCACAAAATGCCTCGACTTCTCATTTCTTATAGCTATATTCCTCTCTCACGTTATTTTAAATTATAATGTACATACACATGTATTTTGAAGGAGGATAATTATCGTTGTAGTTATTTCTCTTACACACACGCTGCACTGTTCCTTCAGTTCTCCTCCCTCATAAAGAATCAATTAATAAATCTATCAATTGCTTTTTCCACACTTCAGTTTACGTCTTCAAATTCTTTAATACATGTGAAGATGGAAACAAAAGATTAGAAAATGTAACTGATTTATAAATTGTATGTATCATCAATATTATTTTTGGGGGTGGAGGTCTGTGCTATTTTTTACCAAAATGTAAGTCTGATCATTTCATTTTTCTATCACATTGATATTCTATTTATCTCCTTCCCTCCTTCTCTCCTTGTCTCTCTCATTCTCTGGAATTACACTTGATTCTTTTAGTATTTTCCCTAGATATTTCGATTATTTCTTAATCTCACGTTATCGATCAAGCTCAACAATCACACATTCACATCCAATCAATAAATCGCTCATTCAATCAATCAGAAATGCAATCAATTGGAGAGTCAATAACCAATCAAACGATCAGATAAAGCAATCATAGTTACAATCAGCCGATTGGTCAGTCATGTCATCAATCGGTCAGTCAGCAATTTACTCACTGATTCAATCAATCAATCAATCATATTATAATTCAATCAATCATACAGTCCATTAATCATGCAATCAATCTGTCAATCAACCAATCAATCATTGTTATCATTAGTTTAATCAGTACATCAATCAGTCATCCCCAAACTACCCTTCATCACCGCATACAGTTCAAATTCCAATCTTGTAATCCACCATGATGATCCTAGGAAAGCAATAACAGCTCATAAGACGTTCATTTGAATTTGAAATCATGGAATATCTTTTTTATTTTAATATCTCTTAACTGTACATGTATATACATCAATAAAACACCACATTAACTTTGACACGGCTGCTCATTTTTAACCTCTCTATACAGAAAAAGAGTTGTATATACATACACACATAAATATAACAATCCGACCAACAGAATAGTCAACACATAAAAGTGAGAACACGCATAATAATTATCTTTCCAGTACGCAGTAATTAATCAATCTTAATGGCTCACCAGGGCTAATTGTCTCCTGAAAGAAAGAGCGTGACGCATTAAAGGCGACATGTAATTCAGTTGAATTAATTTTAGGGTGATAAACGGGCTGTCGGAAGTATCGATGGTTTGTCAACAAACGGAACAAAAAGCCCGGCAATTTAGGATTTGGGGTAAATAAGGCTGCTCTATTATTAAGCAGGAGGACACAGTGCTTGAAGGTAATTAATAAAAGATGACATTTATGGCAGAAACAAAGCAGTTGGGAGCCCGTTTTCCTCTCGGCTCGTTTCGAGCAGAGATACTTGTGATTAATTGGCTTCCTAATGGTGGAGGTTTTAAAAGATTCATGACATGGAGGCGCGGTAAAGAGGAGATAAAAAAACGAGTCGTCGCGTCCCGATGCCATCAGTATTCTGATACCGAGTCGGATTTATGTTCTTGACACGAGCTCGGGACCTTTCTTACAGATTGATGAGGTGAGGTCTCCTTCCAACCCGGCCATGATAATTCAACCAAACCATGTCCCATTCTGGTGTATCAATCATCCCGCCCCGTCATCAGCGTGCTAGCCAAGCGTAGCTCTCGCTTCGATAGAGAGAGAAAGGGAGATGGGGAGAGGAGATGAAGAAAGAGGGGAAGAGGGGATGGGGAACTGAAGTAAGCGACTAATGACAGGGGCATAAATGATCGCTACGGCTCGCCAACACGGCACCTTCCTCGCTCGGCCTGCAAACATGATATAGCTTCAGCTCTCTAGCGCCGCGCCAGGGAGGAAGATAAATTGCTAGGCTGGTCTGTTTGCGCGGCGACTGTAACCATATTACGTCTATGCTGTAACTCATGAGCGCGCCGGAGAAAAAAGGAAAGCGGCTGATTTGTGAATAAGGAGTTTCTTATGAAAGGATGCTGTTTAGCATCTCACCCTCTTACTCACAGTCATAAATAGACGTTACATCCCAACTGCTTGGGCCCCGTGTGAAATGCATGTCATAAATAATTCCTCACTGCCTGCTCTTCCTCCATTTTTAGCTAAATGAATGTCTGATAAACGGTTCTGACAAGTCGCATCCTTAGTGGAAAAATACATTCCTTTTTTTTTATTTGACAAAACCTTCCTTGCGTGTTCCCTTGAATTTCATGCAAAGGTTGCAGTATCTATTGAATAACTGAAGCTACTGAACACAACTTAAACTCAATAATATTAAAATTCAACAAATGAAATGGACAAAACTTAACAGTATATCCGTATTTTTGATCGATCGGAACTAGGGAGAAATTTGCTGATGAATATTTGCGAAAATGTCGCTTGGCGCGGATCACGTTACATCGCGAGGCAGCGTGGTATCCCCAGCAGCCGACGACTGCCTTCTCGAATCGAGAGAGGACGTTCGACTCATATTTCCCTCTTCATACCATTAATATTTTCCCTTAGAGATAGAGCCTTACAATTCATGTTCTCATCTTACAGGAAATAGTACTTTTCGAATAAAAACGTAATCTTAAATTCTTTTATAAAGTGGCCCTTTCAAGCACACAAGATGCATTTCAAGTACTTGGAATTTTGTAACAGGTTTTTAACTGAATACAGAAATCTCGTAAAACTTAAAACAGTGAACACACATCATAATAGATTACTTTCAGTTCAGTTTAAGGAGTTTTTGAACGACTTTGAAGATGGTTTTTGGCTAGTGTGGTACTCCAGCTGCGGCAAGTCTTCCTTTGAGATCGTGGAAAGCATAAGGAGAGTAGTAAGCTCCTGCTGGGAGACCAGGGAGAGTGGCGAGGGAGGTGGGGATGGGTGCCTTGTAGGGGTGGTATCTGAGCGGGGAACTAGGGCTGAGGGGTGATTGTGGTACCCCTGGTTTTGAAAGTCCGTATGAGCCTGGGATGGGTGCAGCGGCTGGGTAGTGCATGTAGTAAGCACTCAGTTGAGCGTTCAGCGATTGAGCAAAGGCGTAGGGAGACGGCGTACTTATCGACTCGTTCGACTGCATGGTGTGTGTGCGTAAATGTTGCAGCAACTCCTCACCACTGCCGAAACGTTTCCCACAACTCGTGTTGCCTGAAACCCAGTTGCAGACGTGTCCATGCTCGGTTTGGGCGGGGACTGGAGGTGGTGGGTAAAGGTAAGGCGTGGCGGCGGCGGTGGGACTGCCTGACTGGAAATATGCGGGAAAAGCACCGTGAACGGGAAGTGCGAACGGAACAGCTCCGTTCAAAGATAGTCCATCGTGTCTACACTGTGTGCAGGCTGCACCTGTTGCTGCACTTGCTGCAAGTGAGGCTGATTGGCAATGTGAACAGTACGGGTCACGGCAGATAGGCATCAATGTCGTTCCTCCATCAGCTGTTTTCACACGTGCATAGGCGGTGGCGTAAGGTGAACCGGCGGTTGCAGCTAAGAGATGTCCGGCATGATCCTTTGAAATACTTGCAGGATCTGCAATGTGGGGTAGGTGATGTCCGAGAAGCTGTGAAGGGCATCCACAATGTCCTGATGTGGGTGAAGTACTGGCGAGAGACGTGGAGGGTTTGAATCCTGTAGCTAGTGCAGGAGGGACGAGATGTGTCGGTAAGATAGGGGCAGAAGAAACCTGAGCGTGTGGCTTAGAATCGCCCCGGTGGCTCGGACTATGAGCACCACAGCCAAAGCTATGTCCAGTACTGGTATGACTTGAAACAGTTTCCGTCGTGCTCTGATTTGAACTCGGCCTCGATGACTCTGTCCTCGTTTTCGTTGGCGACGGCGGCGACGAGGTGAAGGTGGTCGCGCTGGCGATCGGCTTCGAGTCCGTGCTGGTGATCACGCTAAGAGGCGATCCCCGCGATGCTGCCTTCTCGAAGGCGGCGATTTTCGTCACATAGGCATCCCCGTCGCGTTTCTCGTTCTGTTTGTAGGGCTTGAATGATGACCGGTCGAGCTCGTGGATCGTGGTCGCTGCCTTCTCAGGGGACTTCTTGCCGCCGATGTCGAGTGGAGCAGTTAGTCCAGTCTTCATCTCATTCGAGTCCCTGGGAGGGGGATCCGGCTTTCCGATGCTGCTGCATGTCTGAGCGAGCAAGGCCAATGGACTCTTCTTCGCATCCAACTACAATAAAATAAGAAAAGAAATGAAAATAAAAAACATTAATCACCTTAATCACAATGAGTGTCGATTCAAGCTCAATAAAAACATCACATGGCGGCAAATGTGATGTTTATGTCTCATTGTAAACCCATCAAAGTACCCCGTTTTTTATGGGCTTCGGAAGGAACGTGAATATGATACACGAAATAATTATGTTTATATCGCACCCTATCATACGTTACATTAGCTTCCGAAGCTCACACTAAAACTGTTAGAATAAGAAGATTCAACATCCATGACAAATTTAATATAATGCAATCGCGTAAGTAAACAATGACATTTATCAATGTCCACTTTCTTGGAAATATTCTTCACTTAATCTGCAAAACAAGATAAAAAATATATCATTCTCAGAGTTCATAACCTGATACAAATGCATTATTTAATACAAAATAGTTTCACTTTCGATTTCAGAAGTCTTGATTTACATTATGCCTGTATAGTGCCAAGTTAAGCGTCCGCGAATTTTACACGCGGCTTGTTTTATTAGAGTAGACTTGAAATTGGACGGGGAAAGATTGAAATGGTAAATACTGAATAGCACACAGCCGACACCGGCACTTCAGTTTTTCAATTTGTTCTTACAATAACAGATATAGAGTTAACTATCATTTAAAACACACGGTGACAAAAACAGTTAGGTGATTGACTGTGCTGTGTGCAACTAGATATAGTTCAAAATTGGTTAGTATACACTAAGTGCTGCGATGAGTGTACTGCTGCACTGCACTGCACTGTGGTATATATTGCGTGAAAATTGAGCACTTGTGGCAAAAATACTAGAAGTTAGATTAGAAGCCGATTAAAATGTCATTTTGGACTGAAATTTTTTAATAATTTGTTAAGGTACACAATAACCATATCATGAAGTAACTTTGTGCACACTGCCGGTTATGAACTTCAAATTCTAAACATGTAAAATAGTGATTTCTAATCACAATGTCGGTCGCCTCTTGTACAGCATTCATTTAGGGTGATATGCGAGCTGACAAGGCCAAAGCAGCTGATTTCAAATTCGGTTAGACTTAGAGTTAAAATCTTACTAATAATACTACTATCGATATGGATGGAAATATGTACAATTTACAATAGCAAACAGATATCTTAAGAGGACATCAACATCAAAATTTCTACAAAATGTGCACTCTCAGCTCAGACGGTTTGCATGCATAGTAGCTCTCACAAATATCAAGATACACGAAATCTTTACATCGCACAATTTAGCCGATAGAAGTGCCAGCTCTGTAGCGGTCGAATAAAAGGAAAATGCTCTGCAAATTCTACAGGTAACATGTGTTTTAAATGTAAATGCTCTTGTAGTATCAGAATGTTGAATTGTACAGTGTGCAGATGCAAAAATTGTGACATTTTTCTAGAAGAATTCCACGTAGGTAACGATAAATTTTAACAAGAGAGAAATTAAAAGAGAAAATGCTCTGTGAAAATGGTGAAATTAATCCCTTACCGTTGTTGGAAGCGGGTCCATGGGCTGTAAATACTCCGTATGCATGAGGGGTTGCGTCCGTGTCGCAAGCATGTTGATAATCGGGTATAAACCAAGAAATATTCACAAGAGGAACAGCACAATATCACAACAGATAGCAGAATATCACAAGATAGAGATCACAACACAGGCAGGAGTACGAGTCGGTAGTACACACGTCCGCTTTCTGCGAGAGCTGAGCAGTGAGTAGCGATCGAAAGCAAGAGAGATGTGCGGGCGGCGAGCCATCACTGACTGGCCCACTAGCTCAGCCCCATTGTGCGAATGGATTTGTCTACGCGAACCACACAAGCACTCCTCTAAGCGTACCGCCGCTGCAGACAACAGACAAAACCACAAATTTGCCGACAACACTTCAAGTCAAACATTGAATTTACAACGCGAGATGAAGGGACTTTACCGCTGACCAATCAGCACGGGGCGACGGCCCGTGCCTGCCTTGTGATTGGTCGCTCGGGATGTGTAGCTGTCGCAGGCCGGGGATGATTGATATGTGATCCTGTCACATGCTCCGCGCCAGCCAATCAAATTCGCGATTAGCAATTCCCGTTGGCAGGCGTCCAGTGCCGCTCGCTGTTCTGCGATCAATCAAATGCGGTGTCAGCCTTGTCAATTCCGTCTGATTTATGTCAGCGTTTTGTTGTTGATAACATGGCTCGAGTAATTTGAAAAACGGCTTTTGAAAGGGGGTATGATTCCCCGAGATAAATCGGCCCAATAATCGCAATTAATGTGTGACAACAAAGAGACCGTCGGAGTAGCTTTGAATGACAACCGCACCCTGCACGACAGCCGGATTTTTTCCCTCTTTTCGGTGATGGGGAGGAGAGGCTAACGGGGCCTGCTTTTTTTTAAAACAAGCAAGCTGTATAGCACACATTTCGCACTTTTCTTTCACAATGTGTCGGTGTGTTGTGTATTTGGGATGTGTGTGTGGCTGTGTGCTGCGCTCGTTAAAAGCCGTTTCTAAACCCCACCGCCTTGTTGTGCCTTGGCAAACGAACTCGAGCCCATGCACTCCGCCGGGCTATTGACATCGCCTTGCCATTGGAGCTCTGTGTCGGCAAGCTTCAAAGGGGAGGCATGAGTTAGAGGAGATTTTTATCTCCCTCGTCAATCAATCATTGCCTCAGCAAGCAGAGCTTTTCGAACAGGCAAGAGATTGACGGGTCGACCAACACACATGACAGGCTGCCGATTTTAACACTAGCTGACAGCTTGCTGTGGGGAAAGGGAGGGGAGATGGGGGAAATCATAATATTCCCGATGAGATATAGAAGAGAGAGTGAGGAAGGAGGAGGAGGAGGGGAAAGAGAAGGACAAACGAGCAAGGGGAAATTAGGGAGGGACTGAAAATGAACATAATGAAGCAATGTATCCGGTTGGGAGGGCATTAAAAGAAAATGGGGTTTTCTTCTCTAAACCTTTTCCTCTCTCTCTGTCTCGATTTTTTGTTTGGGAGACTGATTGACTGACTGTTCAGGGGCGGCACACTCTGACGATTGGAAAATGACGCTTATGAAAACATGCTGGTTTAGGGGTAGCTGGTGATGATTGCACCAGCCCGGGTCTCTAGGGGGGAGAGGGCCATTGACGGTATGCACAATAACAAGAGCAAAAGGACCTGCTTCAATAGTACACAGCCAGGAAAAAGGAGAGGGGGGAAAAAGGGAAAAGAAAACTGCTTTGTAAGTTTGTGGCAAGACGAAACAGGCAAAGAAAAATATCCGAAAACAACGGCGACCTTCTGCGCTTGCACTCTTGCGTCGGTTTTTTTTTTTTTTTTGACGAAGCGAGAAGTAAATTGAAAATAGTGAGCCCAGCAAAATGATTTCCCCTCACATTTTCCGCTGCTTATGCAGTAAAATAGCCCAAAATAACCCGCCCGCCCTCATAGGTTGATCAAGATTGAAGATGGGGATAATGATGAATTGCTGGCAAATTTATAACAAGAGACCGTGAGGAGAGTGAATGCACTGTGTATCTGAAATCGCAATCTGCGTAAATTTTCAGTTAGCAGACATGTCATGATGTCTGGGAGATTAGTCTTCTTGCGCAGACTCTATTCTGACGCTTAACTTGTCATAAAACAATCAAATATAGGGCCTTGTCTGGCAGTGTCAGTTGCAGGGTGTGGAGTGAAGTCTTTCTACAGCCTTTTCACACACAGCTAAAATTCTATAAACATGACTAGTATAAACGTGTTTCGAACGTGTTTAAACTAATCACGAGCCTTTCACACACAGAAATTTCGGGGCGATCGTTAATCGTTTCGTGATTAACTACTGCTCGTAAAATGCGCAGTAGTGCCATTGCGCATTGAAGGTCATGTCATATCAATCAAAGCGCACGCTCCATTCAGTTTAAACACGTCTGAAACACGTTTAAACACGAATAACCTTTCACACACAAAATGTCAAGCTCACTAGATACGAACTTCGTATCTGCAGCCTGCTTTTAGGGGCGTATGGATCGCGACTTCGTATCTATCCCAACATCGTATAAACGATGTTCACACTGGGAAATTTTGTCTATAAACATGTTTAAAACTTTACGATGATTCTAATCATCTCTAGATACGATGAATTTTAGCTGTGTGTGAAAAGGCTGCTAGTCTTATACAGTTCAGACTCTCGGTTTGCGCATTTCTTCTGACAAGGGATTGCGCCTGCAAAGTATAGGACGATGTAGGACGAAGCTGTTCAATTGGTTTGTTTCAGTAATTTTGCATGCTGTCAATTCCATTTCTCACAGAATATTGGGACTACTGTAATGACTGTCTCTTGCTCTTCATCGTTAGAAATATTATGGACTGATGAACGCAGTATGCGCGTATGTGTTGGATGTGAGGAGAACTGATGTTTACTACAGTCCGGATACCTATCAATTTTTTCCCCATGCATTTCATCACTATTTCTCCCTACCAGTTTGTAGAATCTTGCCAATCAAAATAATGACCACAGAGTAATGTTTTCGTACATGTCAACTTTCAAGAAAACAGTTATTTTCTTCCAGTAATTTCACCAACTAGGCCTATTGAAATCGTAGTTTTACAGAATTAAAGCTTGGAGAGGAAAGAACTGCATGAAGGGATGAATGAAAGATTTGAGCCGGGGCAGAATACTATGTTGGATGAGATTGAGAGTCCGCTTGTCATGCTCATCTGTAATCGGCTATAGCTCTCTCTAGAATTGTAGTTTGTACATCTACATAAACAATCCTTATTGTTAAAGGAATAATTGAGTAACCTACTTGTCTCAGAAGTGGCCAATGCTGTTTGTACAACTCATAAATATTCCGTTGCAATATATGATATAGGCCTATTTTAACTATACAGACATAACGGTATACATGGTAATAGATTTGTGGAAAAGAGATTTGAATGTAGGCTAGTAACGTGAGAGTGTAGTTCAATGTCGCCGTCATCATCCTCATATCTTGACATGTCGTTATGGGCGTGCTCGGGCCATCTCGCCTTTCAAACTCCCGATCCTCTCCCGCGATAATGAGGGCGCAATGGACTGTATAACGAGCACCCAATCGTCGCGCGGGCGACATGAAAGACAGCCAAGGCGAAAATGATCCGTGTTTTTCTCGTTCGTCGTCTGTTTTCCGAGCTCATCTCCATCTCCATCTTCCCCTTCTCTCTCTCTCTCTCTGTGACTGTCTAGCTGTCTGTCTGTCTGTCTAATATGTCTCTCATCCCGCCTATGATTGACTCTCTCTCCCCCTCTCTCTCTTTATTTGACTGTCTCTCTCTCTCTCTCTCTCTAGCTATTTCTTTGACTGTCTGTTTGTCTGTCTGTCTCTGTGTGTCTCCCATATATGACTGAACGCCTCTCTCTCTCTCTCTCTCTCTCTCTTTCCTATCTTATTTCAACCGTCACGTCGCATTCATCATGTTGCATGCCTTGCCCATGCTTTGGCCTTCTACGTCCCTCGCATCGGTTTCCATGTGTGCCCTGATGAAGGGACCCAAGACAAGATTCGAACGTGAAAGAAATAATTAGATCTATGGCTAGCTGCAATGAATTCTGACAGCGGCCATTGCTCAAACTCTCTGTGACGTGACAGACTCACTGCGCATGCGTGGACACGAGAATTAGCACGTTCTTTATGTATCTCTTTAAATACCAAGGAAGAGACGTTTAAGATTTGAGGCTTTATCACGTATGGCAAACGCCAAGATTATAGGTAGGGGTTGCATACTGATTTTGACTGTACAACATTATGTAGTGATATGTAGGGTGAAAAAGATTTAACAAGCTGAATGAAAACTGGTATATCATCCATATCAACACGTTCGTAAAGACAGTCAAAAATCATGTAACCCAATTTCGAGAGCCATTGAAATTGAGATGTGCATGCGAACTTTACACAGACTTATAACATAATCCCAATATGATTTTTACATTGGAGTACTGATATTGTCCTTGAATAGATTTCTCGAAAGTCTTTGCTTTCTTATGCGTTTTTTTTTCGGTTATTGAACTGTTATGGTTTTAAAATTAAAAAGGAAATTGATCACAATGAATCACAGGGCTTGTCCATCCTCTTATTAAAAAATATCAGCGAGAGTTGGAAAGGGGAGGGGGAGGGGGCTCGCGCTTGTAAGATTATGTGATAAATCATTTTTGTAGTTTAACAAAACAATTGGCCTCCAATCCGTCTTATCTGGGAATTCCTGTAGTGAATTATTGTTTGGTGATGTCATTCGTTAAGAATCGAAAGCAAATAAAAGTGGCTATTTACGCGTAAAATCTGAAGGCGGAATTTGCCTTGCAATCCATCATATCACAATGAAAACTGCCCTTTCACTTTGGTTTTTTTTAACATTTTGCTTTAGAGTAAGGATATATCATCGAGTGGGATGTATTGATAAGAGGTAGATACTTGTAGTTTATAGGTTATTAGCCTTTATAAGTAAATATTACGAATTACGTGTGAAAAAAAATGATGTTTAGAGAGAAATAGCCTAAAAAATTAGTCATTACTGTTTATCGTGTATAAAAACTGTTCCTGTATTTTCAGGGAAGATGGATGGTAAACGAGGAAGAGAAAGAACAAGACTTATAGTATCAGGCTTGATAGGTCACATGATTAAGAGGAAGGGTAAAAATAGAGATGGAGGGAGAAGGGTTGTGGACCTGCCTTTGACAGAACATCAGAGAGAGAGAGAGAGAGAGAGGGGGGGGGTAGAAAATATTCATCATCATCATACATAAATCATCGATTGTTTAATCAATGCAATTTTACATAAATGGGTTTTTCATAAGATTTTTTTATTTATCACTGTGTCATACCTGATTTTA